GGCTGAAGCATTACCCTGCTGTCTCCACTAATCTCTGGATAATGACAGGTCATTCTGGAATGGACAGGTCACACTCTTCCTGAACCATTCTGATTTGTCCAGCTTATACAATATGGCAAGGTCAGTTCATGAAAGTTTGATGTTTTCTGCTTGTGTGGCAAAGACCTGGTTGTCTAGACACTGAGTAGCACGAATCAATGATGCCAACAGGTTAGGCCTGCTCAGAGAGCACAAACTGCTTATGTGGCAAGCATGGGCCAGGGTAATTAGCAACACAACAGATACACTGTCCAGCGATCTGACTACAGGCACCGCCCTGTTTGTGTGGAGAGCATCCGAAACATGGCTGTGTTATCAGCTGTAGAAAGTAACCTGTTATTACCTGAAGGGCGGTAGCCTGGTGGTTAAAGCGTCAGCTCGTGATGCTGAAGACCCTGGCTCGATTCCCCACATGGGTACAATGTGTGAAGCCCATTTCTGGTGTCCCCCGCTGTGATATTGCTGGAATATTGCTAAAAGCGGCGTAAAACCATACTCACTGACTATTACCTGAAACCTGAAAGTTTTTATTAACCCATTCAACACCGTAGGCCGGTAGACGTCACGAGTCCCCAGATACCGTAGGCCGGTAAACCGGCCAGGCAGTAGTCGCATCAAAATGATCTTTAATTTTAGGAACCTAACTAACATATGATTCTTTTATCAAATATGTCACTTTTCACAATGTCTGAAAACACTTATTAAATTTCAAATGACCATATATTATTGACAGGATTATAATTATAAACTATTTTTCGCAATGTTATTGAAAAAAGCAATTCTCGGACACATGCTTCGGCAACGGGTCCACAACAAAGTTTTCAAAGAGCAAAGTAACGATGTTTCAAGAAAATAATTAAACAAACTGAATAAACTGATGAATAAAATCCACAACAGTACTCATAAATGTTGTCAAATGTACATTATAACTTACTATTTCCATCTTTTTGAGCTATCGTGAAATGTAATTCAAGTGACATCTGGACTTTCGTCGCCTCGAACTTCACGCTCAGAAAAGATGTTTAATGCTAAAATATATGCATGAAGCATTTTTGTCACAGGTCATAACCTAGCACAATGCGTCCACTAAGTTCCATAATTTACGTATAGGTGGTGATTTATTGCGTAACACATTCAGAATAGCGTGATTTTACCCAAAACTTTCGTCTGAAACATTAGTTTTCGTTTACGGGGACGGTGTCCATTGCTGTAGTATGATTGGCTGCCTTAGGTCACGTGACCAATCACGCTCCTTATATCAGACTGTGGCGAAAAAGCGTCATTAGAAACCAATTTTTATCCAATAAAATCACTTCTTACAACTGTGAAAATACTCTTGGTAAGGGTACAGTGATATTCTTGATGCTCAGAGCTTTCGAACGATACCCGCCATCAAACGAATCACCTCGCATGTTATTCATACGAAGCTTCGAAAACCGAGGTATTTCCTGCTGTTGTATCACGTTACCGAGCGGAAAGGCACTGATATCGGGAAATAGACGACCATACATATTATTTGAGAAATCTGTTTTAAAATAATTTTCCGATTACGTAAAAATGAAAATATAGAAGAAAAAGCTATGGGGATATTATGACATGTTACAAATGGAAAAACTTGCCGCATTTTTTGCTCCATTCGTGGTTTCTCTGGACATAATAAATTTTTAAGCTTGTCAGTTTCCTTGATCAGTCGTAAGTTTCCTTGACAGATTGTAAGTTTCCATTAAGGACAGTAAATTTCCATTAAGGATAGTAAATTCAGTTGAGGATATTAAGTTTCAATGATCGAATATGTGTATCCCTAATGCAATAAAAGTCACTATCAGGATTGAGAGTTGCCATAATATAAGTATTCCAACGTATTTATCTTACCGCCATGTTAAATATACAAAATATCCTTTTATATATATTGTTTTTAATTTTTTTTTTAAGATCGCTACCGACAATATGACATGTAAACAAAATGGCATCTGCCTCTCGGCTGGATTTTTAAAATCAGTTAAACATATTCTGACAAGCTTAAAACTGCAATAAAAACAGTGAATTATATTTAAGTTGAGTGCAAACGATTCAATGTATAAAATTGTTTTAATAAATCAGTGAAAGTCAGTAAAATAAATGTGTATATAGTGAACTCAAAAACAGCTAATTGAATGGTTTTCCAACTCCGTGCACTGCATGCATCATATTATGACGTCATACGATTATTCACGATACAGCTTCTGGGCGGAGAATTTTGCGGTTACCTTGGCAGCGGGTAATATTTTTTGCCGTTGTCACCCTCCTGGGAGGGGTGACACGGAAACTTGTTAAAGGGTCATTGACCAATGAAGTTCAAGTATTTTACCTGAAGGTAAGATAATGGGTTATAACTTGCTGTGATAATGCGAAAGTTTAATTATTTTGTGAAGTCATGAAAAAGACACATACCTTGACATTTTGTTTTTGGAAACAGAACATTACATGGACAAGTATTAGCCATTATTGATCGGCCAGAAAAAGCTGTTTGTTACCAACGACCACTGATTAGATTCTAACAAATTTCCAATATTAGCTGAAAGACATGTTAATTTTATATCATATTTAGCCTCAGGGTTTTCAGCAATATCATTCAAGTGGATATAATTCTTGTTAATGACAAACTTAATCGTATTTATGGAGTCATTAGTAGCAAGGAACATGTATGGAGATGTGTAAATTTATGCAGAACACAACAGCCCAATACCATGTTTATTGCTCAGCAATATTTTTAGTCAACTAGTCCTTACGAGAACATATTCAGTAGACATGGCAAGGCGTATTGGTGATGATGATGCTTTACTAATACTATTGGGCAGTTTCAGAGAGAAAGAAATGATCTTTAAAGTACAACTGGCGAGGTCAATTGCAGTCAGAAAATGTTGTATTGGCTGGTATTTATACATTTGCTATCTGTTACTCTTGCTGTGAATGTATGATTCAATATATTCTGTATTCTTATGAATAATGATTCAGACATTGTCTCTTGTAGAGATGGATTTTTGCCCATATTGAATAATTCAAGAGTTTGGGCATGAAGCTGTTTTGTTGCTTCTCAAGGTTCAAGTCAATAAATTATTGATCTTGTTGCTTAAGTGAGGTTTGAAAATATAGTTGACTCGTCAGTTTTGTTTACTTACATCATTGTGAGGATTCAAATGATTACCTTGCTAGATCTGTTTCTGAAACCATGACAACCACGGTTGTATGGCTAGTGATAGGGTAGACTTAAAAATCTCTTGCTATATCTTTTTCTGAATCCATGACAACCGTAGTTGTGGTGCTAATGATAGGGTAGACTGTACCTAGTCTTTTACAGACATATATATTTCAGAAACCATGACAACCACGGTTGTATTGCTAGTGAAATCTCTATTGCTATATCTGTTTCAGAAACCATGACAACCAATATTGTATTGCTAATAATAAGGTAGACTACCTAGTGGCGGTGGGGTAGCCTTGTGGTTAAAGCATTTGCTCATCACATCGAAGACCCGGGTTCAATTACACAATACAATGTGTGAAGTCCATTTCTAGTGTCCCCCACTTGATATTGCTGGGATATTGCTAAAAGCAGCATAGAGCCATACTCGCTTACTTACTTAACATATTGCAGTACCCACAAATGTTGGAAATTCTACGGGGCATACTTTTAACATTAACAAAACTGGTGGAGGCTGGCTTGCTGGCCCTGAATTCCATCACTGATATTGAAGTCAGCGAAACATGTAGCAGAACATTTTACTGGTGTAGTAAATGAACTTGCGACATTTGTGCTGTACAGGAATAGCATAAGAAATGTCCTTGACATTATCATTTTTCTTCTGTAATTTTTGAAGAAATTAATGATGAAATTAGATTCTTTCTCAGTATTGTAATAGTGTCAAGTATCATTGAAGGGTTTAGTTGAATGAGAAATGTATACTAGACTTACAATTCTTATGTCACGAAACTTAAAATACTTCATGTCAAACGCGTGTACAAGGCAACATACAAATTTTTCTTTAGTTTATTTGAAAGTCATCAGGAAATGTCAGTCAGTATTCATAAATTCATGTTTTACAAATCAGAAAGTCAGTTGTCTGTCATCAGGTTGATTGTAAACAAGAAATTCATTCTAAGATGTCAGCTATTCCATGGATTAAAAGACTTGCATGTCAAAAAGGTTTGAAATGTGTAATTACTCATTAAGCGTAGTAAAGGTTTGTCCGAAGTACACATACATGTGTCAAGTACATGGTACACCTTGAAAAAAATAGTTCCTAACTTATAATCATAAAATATGATAAAGGAGCTCGCAGACCTTCTTCATTTTCCTAATTGTGGTAATCGAGACTTGCCACATATTCTGGACTAACATGGGTTTTCTTGGATAAATTTGTTTGAGGGTCTGTATGACAGACTAGGAGGCGAAGTGCCTTAGCTTGAATGATATTGCTGTTACTTTACAAACTACAGTTTCAGGAGATTTCCTTTCATGCCAGCACAACATTTGTACATTTGCTGATTGACTGACTACCCGCTGTAATTCACATAGTAACTGACTGACAACAGAGAAATCTAATGTTTTGGTGTGTTTTTGTTTCCCTTTACACAGATGATATGTCATTTGCACAGTTGTTGGATTCAAATGGTTTAGATTTCTCCAGGAAATGCTCTACACCAACACATTTAAAGAAATCTTGAGGACAGTTTGAGTCTGTATCCTAGAAAATTAATATTCATCTTCAAGAGATTTTAAGCACAGTGAATATCCACGTCCTAAAAGACCTGAAACCCTGTAGCTCAAGTGTTATGTTATTTTCAGTGTTAGAGAGAGTTCTCCTGCAACAAATGCACCTGATTTATAAGTAGCCAGCCAGTATTCCTGGCTATCAGTTTGTGTGCATCACTGATTGTTTTATGCATGAAGTATTGATTTCTGTCTCTCTCTGTTTCCGCAGGCGACCATAGGTATAGACTTCCTGTCAAAGACAATGTACTTGGAAGACAGAACGGTGAGTATGCTTGCCTACAGTCATGTAGATGAGAGGGTGTTTTTGTCACTGATATGTAGTGCTGGTCAAACTTAGGGGGACAGCTGCTTTCTCCATACAGCAGCCCTGTTGGAACTTCAGTGTCAGGCCTCAATGTTTGTCAACTAATTAGAGCGGGTGTACAGACCCTGAGACTGGTTTGTCTGTCCCAGACTTGAACAGGCTGCTGTGATGTGCCTGGAAGTTTGTATACTCTCAGATAAGGACATATAAACAGGGGTTCAAAAATCCAATCGCCCGATGCCCGGGACAAGTCAGTTTTCATTTTGGGCAATCAAATAATGGTATCTTACTTGTCCGTGGGCTACTAGATAATTTCCACTTATGGTTTCAAACCGCAAATAAAGTTGGATTTAATTTCATATCTGCTCAAATGTAGCTATTTCATTTTGCAATGATAATAAAGTGGAGTTACCTTTCTTTGCTATTTATCACTTTTCAATAAATAGTCCAGTAAACATTAACATCAAATACCATGTTGATTTCTTCTTTCATAATTACATCATCATAATTATGTCATAAAATCAGGGCAAGTGGAAAATTAGTCAGGACAAGTTACTTTCTTATAGTCACTTGCCCTGTGGCAAGTGGCTGTTTACAAAAAAAATATGAACCCCCTGATAAATATCCAGTGCGTCAGTCATCTCATAAATGATGGCTAATATGTTATGTGTATTGTATGATTGACTGATGGTGGTTATACTATCAACCACTGGTTTGAGTGGACCTGTTTAGGGACAGCATTGATAGAGCTGCAACAGTAAAGAACATGTCATAGATTCCTTGAGCCATTCTAACTCACTCACTCACCGACCCTCCCACTCTCCCACTGAATTACATCAAGAAACTATACATGATGCAAAAAATGTTCAAGAAAGTAACCATTGTAACATGTATATTTCATGTAATATGACATCAAGACAGGGTTGTCATGTTCAAGGAAACATTGCAATGTTGAAAGAACCAGGGATTAGAATGGTAACAGAGGTTCCAGATTCTGGTAGTGTATTGCGATGGTGTTTTGAATGTAGCATGACAATGTGATTGTTGTCGTCATTCCTTCACAGGTTTATATGCTTTATGTTCCTCTATCACCAGCGTAGACTTAAGGACATTTGGCAGTGTAGTTCATGTTTTTAACCAAAAAATCAATGTCCAGCAATGGCCGAGTTCACACAAAGGTCATCCACAGAGTAATGCTTATTTGACTTACCGGTATACACTTTCTCATTTCACTATCTTAGTAAACTAGACAGATCGCTACTTCAGTTAATATCAGCTCAATTTGTACCAGGGTGATGGAGGAAGGTAATTTATCAAAACTGGCTTCCAGGGGAGATACGCTTGGATGAGATGAGATGGGGCAATATTTCTAGATGATGTCGCTACAATGAAGTTGGATTACTTTGCAGACCATTGTGATTTCATTCTTTGCCAGTCAAATAACATCACTAAGATGTCTGCCACTGTAGCTTGTTAGATTATTATTTATGTTGAAGACACTGGGTATTACAGTTTGTGAGGAGAAAAACTGGTTGGAATGATTTTTGGATGACAAAAACTTGAAAGATAATCTCTTGTTGTCTTTTGACACAAACATTGGAGTTTATAGCTCTTATCCATATGTTTAAGAATTCACCTACTGTTATTTGCATGGTATGCACACCTAGGTTTTCATTTATACCTGACCGCGTTCGGCATTAATGGGTACAACCAGGACTGGTCGACTCAGAGTCAGTATGATGTGTCTGAGTGGGGTATTCATGCTTCACTGCGGCATGGTATCACAGTGGGCTAGCACTATAAAACCAGCTTCAGTCTGGGCTAGTACAAGCAGCTGCACATACACATACACACGCATGTACGTCGTCATATGAGGAAATATTCTCAAGCATGACGTTAAACCCAATTCCACCACCACCATCATTTATACCTTGATGAGTGGAATAAATTAATGAAGTCATTTCTTGTAAATATATACATGAACAATAATAACTTAATATACACCAACAGTATGGTATCAGTAACAATATTCAGCACTGCAATGTAACACAATTGCTCATGATGTCAATCACTGGATTGTCTGTTCCAGACCATTTTTATTTGCAGACTGCCATCATGAAGCGGTAATACTGCTGATTGCATTGATGAATGACATACTAAGGCACAGTTATGTTTTCTGTTGTCCAGATCCGGCTACAGCTGTGGGACACGGCAGGGCAGGAGAGGTTTAGAAGTCTCATCCCTAGTTACATTCGAGATTCCTCTGTAGCAGTAGTTGTGTATGATATTACAAGTGAGTACATACAGATCATCATGATGATGGTTTGTGACCTGATTTTTGTTTTCATGCTCTGATAGTGTAAGACTAAGACTTTCCAATGGTATTCCAGTGGTTTTTGACATGCAAAATATCGATCATTTACCAGCCTCAGATGTTTATCAGAGTCGTCACAAGAATGTTTTTTAAAGTAACAGCAAAGGGTCACAAGCTAACTTATCCTTAATGTTTCAGCTAACGTGTACCTAATGTTTCAGATGCAAATTCCTTCCACCAAACATCCAAATGGATTGATGATGTGCGGACAGAGAGAGGGAGTGATGTCATTATAATGCTCGTAGGAAATAAAACAGATCTGTCAGATAAGAGGTTTGTATATTGAGAGTCAATTTATAACTTGAGTTTAGGGCACAATGGCAGGACATTTAATGTCAACAGAGCAAGCCAAATGTTGTATGTGGTACAAATGTTGATTTGATTGGTATAGGTTACCATAACTTGTATCTTGTGATTGAACCTCTTGTGACAGTCAGGAAGAGGTTGTACAGCTGCATTACTGATGTAGGATGTTCCTAAACAGTTGTGGTGTTGAAGAAAACCCTTTTGGATTGGACCGCCTCCGTGGTGTAGTGGTTAGAGCATCCGCCCGGAGAGTGGAAGGTCGCGGGTTCGATCCCGGTCGCGTCATACCAAAAGACGTTAAAATATGGTACTTGTTGATCTCTGCCTGGCCCTCGGCATTAATGGGTACAACAAGGACTGGTCGGCTCGGAGTCAGTATAATGTGTCTGAGTGGGGTATTCATGCTTCACTACGGCATGGTATCTCAGTGAGCTAGCACTATGAAACCAGCTTAAGTCTGGGCTAGTCAAGCAGCCGCACATACACATACACACGCATGCACGTCATCATATGAGCGAAATATTCTCAAGTACGACGTAAAACCCAATTTCACCTCACCTCACCTTTTGGATTGTCACAAATGCTACCTCAGCAATCTCTACAAATCTGTTCTTGGAACATGAATTCGGAAATTTAACATTCCACTTTTTACGGAAATTTGCTGCATATCAAGAACATTGATTAGGAGTATTCATCTCTTGATTTTCCTACATACTCAACATGTGACATGTTATGCTTAGAGTTACTTCCTCGTCACTATATGGCTGAAATATTGCCAAGGTGACGGTAAATTTTAACTCACTCACTCACTAGAGTTACTTCCCTTGTTGAAGTCATAACTCACCCTTGCTGCTTTGTTTCAGACAAGTGACAACAGAGGAAGGGGAGAGGAAAGCAAAAGAGTTAAATGTCATGTTTATAGAAACCAGCGCCAAGGCCGGGTATAATGTCAAACAAGTAAGTAGGAGCCAGCCTCTCCCATAGATGGGTTGGTGTGGTGGCCTTGTGATTAAAGTGTTTGCTCATCATCCTGAAGGCCAAGGATTCAATCCCTACAAGGGGTACAGTATGTTGAGCCTAGTGGTGTTCCGATTAATTGAAATAATCGAAGATTGATCGTAGTGACTAAACGACTAAGCAATCGATCATAATTTCTCATAATCGAACACAAACAATTCTGGAACACTTGTTTTCATTAACTCTTTCAACACCAGTCAACCAGAGGCATTTACTGCCATGACACGAGTTCCCAGAGACCCTGAGGTCATAGATGAAGCCTATGATTATGAAGGAAATTATAAGCTTGTAAAAGCGTTATTGCTACTACATCCCATACACCATTTAAAGATCTAATCCTACTGTTGATAAATATGAAGTTTATTTTTATAATATTATTCAAATAATACAACTACAACTTAAATAAATGTATTTTTGAATGAAAATGCAAGCTTACATTTATAACGTCCAGATAAACCACGAAAGAAGCAAAAACTATGGCGATTTTTTTCCATTTGTGACATGTGATAACATGCCCGTGCCTTTTTCTTTTATATTTTCATTTTTCGTCATCAGAAAATTATTATAAAAGATTTCTTAAATAATATGTATGGTAAGCCTATTTCCCGATATCTGTGGCTTTCCGCTCGGTAACATGACATAACAACGGAAAATACCTCCGTTTTGAAAGCTTAATTATGCATAACATGCGGTGAATCGTTTGATGTCGGGCATCGTTAAAGCTCTGAACATCAACAATATCACTGTACCCTTGCCAAGAGTATTTTCACAGTTGTAAGAAGCGATTTTATTGGATAAAGATTGGTTTCTAATGGCGGCTTTTATACAGTCTGCTATAAGGGTTAAGTGATTGGTCAAAATCAGACCGTGACCTAAGGCAGCCAATCATATTACGGCAATGGATACCGTCCTAAATGCGAAAACCTTCAGATTTAGACAAAGTTTTGGGTAAAATAATGCTATTCTGAACATATTAAGCAAGAAATGCGCTACCTGTCGTAAATTATGGAACTTATTGGACGTATCGTGCTAGGTTATGACCTGTGACAAAATGCTTCATGTATATATTTTTAGCATTAAACATGCGTGTCGGTGAAGATTGAAGTGAGCGAGATGTCACTTCGTCAGTGACTTGACTTGCATTACATGATCGCACAAAAGATGGAAATAGTAATTTTATATATGCGTTTGACAACTTTTATGAATGTTGTTGTTGATTTTATTCATTAGTTTATTCAATTTATTTAATGAATTCCTCGAAACATCGTTACTTTGCTCTTTCACAATGTTATTGTAGACCAGCTGCGAAGCATGTGTCGAGAATCGTTGTTTTCAATAACATTGCGAAAAATAGTTTATAATTTTAATTCTGCTGATAATATATGATAAATTGAAATTTAATAAGTGTTTTCAGACATTGTGAAATGTGATAGATTTAATATATGAATCATAAGTCAGGTAGGTTCCTAAAATTATGTCTCATTTTGGCGTGACTACTGCCTGGCGGCAAATGCGGCCTCCGGTGTCTGGGGACTCATAGCGTTGTGGCGGCAAAGCGACCTGCGGTGTTGAAAGGGTTAATGATCTGGTTTTTGTTGGGATGTTTGGAAACCCATGCTGGATTTCCTCCAAGTGTGACAGGCCTGGTGGCCCTGTGGGGTACTGTGTATTTGACTCTAGCGTGGTGGACTTGGTTTTACTCTGTTGGGAGTGGCCTAATTTATGTCTGTTTGACATGTTTATGGAAATATATTCATTGATGTGTATTCGCCAAAATAATTGCTTGACGAGCCAATCAAATGATATGAAATCACTTGCAATGTGTTGAATAATTCACAATCACAAACCCATTTCCATTCTCAATCTGTATTTTGAAAAGCAGCGAGTAAGCCATTTTAGAACTTTGTACGTAACGTTTTGAAAGAACAAGTTCAACAAGGGCCTGGTCACATTGAGGTAAGAATTATACAGCTTGATTTACATATCATGTGTGACATGTCAAAGAACAGACAGTGTCATAGGACTGACCATTTGATCTTCAAGGGTAGGGAAGGGTCTGCTTGTAAATGCTTGAAATTTATTTGTATTACTTAATACTGATGGGGAAAAATGAAATTGTCACAGAAATTTACATTGTTGCTACAACTTTTCAACAAAACAATGTTTAGGCTTGTTTAAATATGAAAATATGGGATTTTGCATTTGTAACTGAAAAAACATACCTAGCCTCCACACAGTCTCAGGCCCCTAGAATATTAAAATGGTCAGTCCGATAGAGAATCTGTTGTGGAAGTTGTCATTGTGTCCTCAAGTGATTTTTGCCTTTCAAAGAGCAATGTCTGGAAGTAAATACTTTGTATCTTCAGACACAATACAACTGCAGCATCAGCTTGCCTCACAATATGTCACATATGGTAGTTCATGTGAAGTATTTGTGGTTGACTGTTTAAGCTGTTTTTATTTTGCCATATTGAATGGCAGTAACTTCATGGAGCTCCTATTTCCAGTCCCAGGCTTATCGTTGAGGGTGTGGTGGTGTCCTGTGTATATACATGTGTGTACAAGTGTCTTGTAATGGTGTCTCATTCCACAACACATCTTATGGTTCAGTGCTTAAGTTTTGAAGGGCACTTTGTTAAAAACTGAAGTGAGGTGGTGATCTTGTGGTATTTTCTAAGATGCCTAGCGGTTAGAACAATCGAAAAAAAAATACATTATCAGACAATAAAGGTATAGTTTTTTGATGACGTAACAATTGAATGATGTTATCCCGTCACTACGCCATTTTAGTGTGCCCCCTCGTAATCGAACCATTTTACATTACGTCACAATGTAAGCGACGTCACGATACATGTCAGTTGTCATCGCCTCGTACGGCCTCCTACAGTAAACTACTCCGTTGCATCCCGTTTCTTGGTTTGCAGTTGCTTCACGCAGCTAACATCACTGGTGGAAACATTACGTTTATGTTTTACGACGGTTAAAATGTCTCAATTCGACTCACAAGTTTTCAGCGACACGGTAACGTCCGCAATGTTTACATTCCCACAATGCAATCATGGAATGTCACTTGACTACTCAGCTTCATCTGGATGTACTGATCTAAACTTACGTTGGTAGTAGAAATCACGGCGTTCATATTGCCCCATATGGTTTCACGTTAATGACAGATGTAATTAAGATAATTCAGAGAAGATATTTAATCCGAACGTAAACCGTCATCAAACTGTTATCATTTGTTTTTTTCTGGTAACGTTCGTGTTATCGTAGGGGGGCAGACACATCAATAGAACAGCGCGCCAGTTAACCCTGTGCGAGGATTCTTAATTTAGGTCAGCGACACAGTCGTTTGTTTTCTGCCTTAAATTAATCGTAATTATCCTTAGAAAGTATTAAATTTAGCATCTTAGAAAAGATGTAAAGTTTGCTCTACCCCAATGTGTTTTGTAATAAAGTATAGTTTTGCCCTGGGTGCAGTTCCACTAACCGATCTTAGGCCAATGCTAATCGTAAACCCCTAAAATCCCAATCTTAGCGTGACGTTACGATCGGCATACCGTTCCACTAACCAATCTTACCTAAGTCAATCGTAAAGTTAAGATTCAAAGTCTAAGTTGCTCATGACCAACTTAGGATAGCTAAAATCAATCGTAGAGAAACCAAAATGGTGACTTTCCTATTCTTTGTGAAAAATAAGAGCGAGCATTTCACCGTGAGCGTCCCCTAAAGTCCCCCATGAAATGAATTTGTATATTTCTGTGATGTAAACAAATACTGCACTGAAGCCTTACAAATGTCAGGCCAGTCTGACCACTGTCGTCATTGGAACACAACCGAGCGAGTCGGTGTAACACATTTGTACAACAATATTGCAACGTCATGGGACAGCCGTGAAGTGAACAATGTTCTGAAGCAAAAAGATACAAATATGTTTGATTTCACTGCGCATATTTGGTGTGGGATTCTAAAGACAGGCCGCGTGTTATTCAAGACCACTGACAGATTCTACATACGTTATATATAGCCTCGTCACGCCTCGTTTATTCTGATTGACAAGGTTCAGGCACATATTAAAAGCTCTGACACAATTGACATTTTTAAAGTCCAGACTTAAAACCTGTTCTCAGTATATTACTTAATTATAATCTCGGCTGTAAATATTCTCGTAAATTATCTGTACACAGCTTTGAGCATGCCCAAGGATGTGGAATAGGCACTATAAATATGCATTTATTATTATTATATTATGCTTGATACCCAGCGCTTCACGCACTTGCACCTGAAACCAAGGTGCTCACTACCCTAATATTTTGCTCTAGTTTTTTTTCTCCACGTTTACACTTGGTTGGAAAAATACCCGTGAAGGCCCAGGTTAGAATATTGAACTTCAATAACCCATGCCTGTCGTGAAGAGGCCACTAACGGGATCGGGTGGTCAGGCTCGCTGACTTGGTTGACACATGTCATCGGTTCCCAACTGCGCGCAGATCGATCCTCATGCTGTTGATCACTGGATTGTCTGGTCCAGACTTCGATTATTTATAGCTAAGATACATAGCGTTCACTAAAATGAACGCTCATGTTAGTGAACGCTATGCATCTTAGCTAGATTATTACAGACCGCGCCATATAGATGGACTATTGCTGAGGGCAGCGTAAATCTAAACTCACTCACTCACTCAGTTGGTTCGTAAACTACTTCCATCATTTGCTAGACTACGCAAAGGGAGATAACTCGTGCCTCGCATTCCTCTATCTCTCGCACGAAAGAGTCTCGATCTAAGCTTGGATCGGATCGTAAGATCGGGACCGGCTACGAATCGATCGGCCTAAGATCGGTTAGTGGAACGGGTGTAACTTTTAGCTAAGACGATTGTAAAATTGGCATAACTTGCTAAGATTGATCTTAGATAAGATCGGTTAGTGGAACGGCACCCTGAACTATTATAACATCAAAGCACTCAGACTACCGTCCTCGTGCTTTAATTATAATAGTTCAGGGCAAAACTATACTTTATTACAAAACACATTGGGGTAGAGCAAACTTTATTTCCTAAACAGTTTCCTCAGGGAGAACGCTGCTTTGTTTAACAGACAGTACATTGAGCTGCTAAAAGAATCTCATGCCTTAACCTTGAGCTACAAACTTGTAAATATGTTGCCCAAACAGTAAGGAGCTACATAGTCCTGGGCCTATATTTTCGAAGCTCTCTTAGCGCTAAGATAGTCGTAAGTGCCATACATTAACATTAACTTGCGCCTATCTTAGTGCTAAGAGAGCTCGAAAATCTAGGCCCTGAATTTCATGTGCTAACAGTCAGAACATTCATGTCTATAGTGTTTGAGCTACCAACTTGTAAATCTCCTGTCCACAGATGTTTAGATAGTTGTCAAGGTTACCTCTAGGCCATGGCGATCTGTGGTGTAGTGGATAGACTGTATGCCAAGTAAACTGAAGATTCTGACTTAATCCCTCATGTCTTGTTATATCAAAAGACATTGAAAGACATTCTTGTCGGTAACCTGCCTAGCGTGCAGCATTAAAGGGAGAAAGCAAGGACTTGTCACCTTGTATCTGTATGGTGGGGTAACAGTGGTAGAATACAGCATTACCTTATACAAGACAAATATATGAGTAACAACTTCTTTATTTGTTTCTCACGATGTTTCTGGGCTAGTTCATGCCCCTTTCTTCAGGTTGATAATGGACAGCATTATCTGTCAGGCTTTAGTCAGGGCAAATACAAACAGCAACCAGTGCAACTTCACAAACTTGACAAGAGTACATTTCCAGCTTGCCCTTTTAGCAAGAAAAGAACAATGCATCAAATGGTCTTTATTATTCCATATTATGGTGTCAGGTGATAATTCATTGTCAAAGGGAGGTAATTCTGGGGTGTCATTTGGGAAGGAATTCATTTTATATAATGCTTGCAGATAATGGTTTCATGGATGTCTAGGTCTGATAGTCATGGTATATTAATACAGGGTCTTCCTAAATTGTAGACTGTTGCCATGGTAACCTGTTCACTTCAGCTTAACAAGCCTGCATGATGGACAAACCTTACCTTTAGACACCATGAAAGAGACACTACACAACACAAGTCTTTGAAAGTTGTTAACTGAAAACCAGTTGCTTGTTTCTTCATTCTTTCAGGAAACCAATCCACACAGTTTACTGCTCATTTTGTTACAAAATGTGTGTAATAAGTAACGTTGTACCTGAAAACAAGTCCTTTCACAACTAACACAGTAACTCACTAACTCCTAATTCACAGAACATTTCCCAGGTGATTAAGGGGCCGTGTAATTCCTCTTTTTTTACAGTGACCCATTATTTTCTAATATGTCTGGTGTAATTGTCAGTGTGATTGTGATCCAACCAGTACATGACCTTGATCATCCTCATCGATCCTCTGTGCACCAATCGTCCTGCATGCTAACATCACTGCTTGAATGTTCTTGTGCTGTCCTCTCTGTGTCTGAGGTGCTGGTTGTAGTGTACTGATTAACTGCTAGCTGCTATAATAAGCATGGTTACAGTTGGAAAGTACACCTCTGTACATTTCTGAGGGAACTTTATCTGCTTGTCATAATATAGCAATATGGTGTTTGACTTTTTTTTTATTGAATTCAAATAATTCTGGAAAAAAGTAGTTTTAGATATTAATTGATCTTTAAAGAAATTATCACTCAACTATTCTACCTGATGTAATGATAAATTATAAAAAAAATAGTATTTATTATATCTGACATGGTCAGAGTACCTAAAAACCCAAGGTTTTCCAATTGTGCTTGGACGGTGAACTGTAAACAAGTAATCGACAACCTAGATTGTGCTGGTCACCTGGTGCTTGGGTTTTCAGTCTTCATTTCAAATTTTTACCTTGCATTGCTTTTGTGTCACCAAGGTCCAAACTAGGCCATCATCAGAGGTTATTTTTATTGATACCTGTCTGAAGGAATACCGAGTTAATAACTGCAATGTAGACAATTACTAAAAACGTCTTTTTGATAGTTTGTTTAAGTTTCTTATCTGAGACTGGAAATAGAGAGGCTTTTAGGTGCTTGATTAACTTAATGAAACTCTTTTCTTTATTTAATTTATTTGATTAATTGCTGTGATTTGATTGAGTTTGACACCTTAACCCTCCCCAGTGACTGAGGTGAAACTGAAGGAGACGCCGGCCGAGCCTCAGACACAAGAAGGAGGCTGTGCATGCTAGATGTGTCGCTGTTTCTCATTGGCTACTCTATTTGTATGAGCTGTAACCATTGGTTGTATTTTTGTACATAGAATCACTGATTTCATTGGCCACTCAGTTTTGTATAAACTGTTATCATTGGTTGTATTTTTGTACATAGCTCAAACTGGAGGAAAGCAAGAAATAGCAGCATTCATTTCCAAACATAAAGACTGTTAAACAATATTGATTGTAGAGTATTATAAGTGTATGGCAAGAGTCATCATTATTCGTTAGTAGTGTAGTGTACAATTTGTATTTTAATGTTGAAGAAAATATGAAATCCTCATATTTTAGGAATAATATCATTAAACAAAATCAAGTCTAAATTGAAACTGTATACTCTCTTGTGCCCCTCATAAAACAATATCTTTGAACTGAACTTCTCCAAACTTCTTGTTGAAGATACGATCATTTGTCTTTTTATTGAATTTAAAAAAGGCATGTCAAATTTTCATTTCACTGAAAGATTTAATGTTTAAGTGATTATTTATCTTTCCTAATGATAACTTCAACATGATAATACTAAAGCCATGTACCACACTGTAGGTAGGAAGTGGGTAGGGTGTTCACCTTGCAGGCACACAGACCTGGGTTTGTGCCCAATCACTCACTTACTTTGCAGTTGTTTCTTGGAACTAAACCTGAATGACACATTTCTTGCTCTCCTTCACTGTCTAACAGGTTTGCCAGTGATGTGTTTTGAATGTGTGTATTTTTAACATCAAAATTTGCCACTATCTGTTGTACAGTTGTATGCTTTGAAGAGACCAATGAACATGTCCATACTTTGTGACGCTCAACATAGACTTTCCATCATCTTAGCACTAAGATCTCTCTATGGTTCATGGCTGAGTACTGATAAGGCATGGACATTCTCAGATGAGGATAGCCTCAAGTCCTTTCCAGATCCTACTGCAATTAATGCCTTGTGCAAAGCGCCTGATTTGTTGAGCATTTGCCTCTTGTTCATTTTCAGCCAATGGAAGGCCATTGTGTATTCAATGGAAAGCCTGTTCTGAGGGTTATGATTATAACTTAGAGGAATGGCGAAATGGACATGATGATGACTTTTATGGTAAATTTTGTTACGTCATTGGATCGTGAGTAGATAAATAATCAAAGTGGGTGTTAGAGGGTCCCTGATAACTAGCAAAACAGATGTTCTTCGGTCTGTTAGTAGACAGTTCACTTTGTTTGCTTATAGAGGCAGAGAAGTAGCTCGGTTGGTACTTTGTCACTCTTCCAGCTAACATGACTGGGTTTGATTCCATTTTTCAAGGCTGGCCATGATAACAGCCATGACATTTTTGATGAATGGTTCTTCATAGTATAAGATGTCTTCAAGATAAAAAACCCAATCAAGAATCACTGTGATACTTGTACACAGACTAGAAGCCTTGAGTCATCCATGGCTCAGAGCCACAAAGCTTTCAATTGCTCTACAACAGTCGTAGTTTTATGATAACCAGCAAAGTTACACAGTGACCATGGTCCTATGCCTAGACACAGACTTAAAACAGTCAAAGTGTTGCAGTCACTTTGTGAAATGGTGCCCTGGTTTATACTTGCCTCATTTGTATAGAGGACTGATAATACCTCCAACCTGAGGGGACCAAGTGGAACAAGACGAGGGAACACATTGAATGTGTAATGTTGTTTGGGGGCACATGCAAAAGTCTTGCTTTTCCAGTCATTTACAGTGGCTCTTATGATACAGGAGAAGCTTTAACTCTGCATGTAGTTTGTATTGGTAGTGATGCATTCATTCATATGTATTAATTTATTTTCCTCTTATTATTTGTGTAAGGGTGTAGATATGGGTTATGTTATCACTGTATATAGCAAGTCAGACTGGATGTCCTATAACCACAAACAAATCTGTCGTTCAACATACATGATTATGTACTACTTAGTGAAGGATTTGTCGGGAAACAAGTGACAAGATGATTTGTATTTTAGTATTTGGGGCCAATCAGTCATTGAGTATTTGTAATTTTGTCCTAAGTAAGCTCACAGAAATTAATATTAGTGGAACACTTAAAGGTTTTTATAATAATATGGAGCTTTTGATGTATTTGGGGTGAAAATCAAGGAACAGTTATGAAGGAAAGCAGTATATTTTGTAATTGCAATAAGGATACTAAAATGTTTGGCAGTGATGTTACTGCAATTAATGCCTTGTGCAAAGCCTGATTTTGTTGAGCATTTGCCTCTTGTTCATTTTCAGCCAATGGAAGGCCATTGTGTATTCAATGGAAAGCCTGTTCTGAGGGTTATGATTATAACTTAGAGGAATGGCGAAATGGACATGATGATGACTTTTATGGTAAATTTTGTTACGTCATTGGATCGTGAGTAGATAAATAATCAAAGTGGGTGTTAGAGGGTCCCTGATAACTAGCAAAACAGATGTTCTTCGGTCTGTTAGTAGACAGTTCACTTTGTTTGCTTATAGAGGCAGAGAAGTAGCTCGGTTGGTACTTTGTCACTCTTCCAGCTAACATGACTGGGTTTGATTCCATTTTTCAAGGCTGGCCATGATAACAGCCATGACATTTTTGATGAATGGTTCTTCATAGTATAAGATGTCTTCAAGATAAAAAACCCAATCAAGAATCACTGTGATACTTGTACACAGACTAGAAGCCTTGAGTCATCCATGGCTCAGAGCCACAAAGCTTTCAATTGCTCTACAACAGTCGTAGTTTTATGATAACCAGCAAAGTTACACAGTGACCATGGTCCTATGCCTAGACACAGACTTAAAACAGTCAAAGTGTTGCAGTCACTTTGTGAAATGGTGCCCTGGTTTATACTTGCCTCATTTGTATAGAGGACTGATAATACCTCCAACCTGAGGGGACCAAGTGGAACAAGACGAGGGAACACATTGAATGTGTAATGTTGTTTGGGGGCACATGCAAAAGTCTTGCTTTTCCAGTCATTTACAGTGGCTCTTATGATACAGGAGAAGCTTTAACTCTGCATGTAGTTTGTATTGGTAGTGATGCATTCATTCATATGTATTAATTTATTTTCCTCTTATTATTTGTGTAAGGGTGTAGATATGGGTTATGTTATCACTGTATATAGCAAGTCAGACTGGATGTCCTATAACCACAAACAAATCTGTCGTTCAACATACATGATTATGTACTACTTAGTGAAGGATTTGTCGGGAAACAAGTGACAAGATGATTTGTATTTTAGTATTTGGGGCCAATCAGTCATTGAGTATTTGTAATTTTGTCCTAAGTAAGCTCACAGAAATTAATATTAGTGGAACACTTAAAGGTTTTTATAATAATATGGAGCTTTTGATGTATTTGGGGTGAAAATCAAGGAACAGTTATGAAGGAAAGCAGTATATTTTGTAATTGCAATAAGGATACTAAAATGTTTGGCAGTGGTGTCAGCACACCAGATAATGGTAATTCACCCAGTGGTATGTTTTGGTCACATGAATAATTTTCATTGAGGTTAACGGTTAACATTATTTTGGGTGTGTGGAAAGCCAAGCGCTTTGAATCCAATGAGGTACAGATTTTGGCGCCAATTTCCAGTGTACCTTGCAATGTTATTGCTAGACTGTTACTAAAAGCTGAGTCTGACCACGTCAATAAAGTCAGCATGTTACAGAATATACAGTGGCTGCGACGATTCCTTTGTCAGCACTGTGTGGCTTTCACGAAAACTGAAAACAGTGAAGGCTTTCACCAGACCTTAAAAAATTCAAGGGATTCTTTGATAAAATTCTTATTCACATATACGTGCAGAATGGTTTGTCAAGTGTTTGCACATATCAATCAAATTTGGAAGATCTCAGGTTACAGAAAGGTTCAAGGGGCTACGTAGGATAGGAAGGGCAGATAACTCTTACTCAACTATATCAACTGGTGTTTATTGTTTGTTGGCTATATATGTGATTCATAAGAGGGTGTGTCAGAAGTTACAGGTTTGGATGATAATATGCAGACATCTGTTACTTGGAACAACAAATTATAAAGCATTATAGCTAAAATACATGGAATTATCATGAAACGGCCCTCCCATTATCAGAAATTTGCGGGCCGCTGCAAATGGTATTGGACCGCTCAACCTTAACGACGGGCTACTATCAGTTCTGTTGTCAAGTGACGTCATAGTGGGTGCGTGGGCTAACGGTTCATTCGACATTAATTGGCTTTCGACTGGCAGATATTCTGGGTCAAACAAGTCAAAGCAACCAGAATTCCCCGCTTTAAATAGCAGTAGTATTGGCTTTCTTGTTGGTGCTAACCTTAACAATTGCACTGTTAAGGCTGTTGATGGACCAAAACCGAACACTGACGTAGTTTGACATGTTGCAGGCTATGGTCTTGTCAAAGGCCAAGGTCGAATATCGTCACTTTCTGTTGTGACGTCAATTGAATTGACGTAATTGCATTCGGGCAGTCAACCCCATCAGAAGTTGATTTGGGTAAACTTACAGTCAAATTCCTTCATTGTTTCCTTTTTCTTTTCAACACAAATTCCATGTATTTTAGCAATAATAACGGTAATGCTATTTTTAAGGGCATTATCATTTGCAGAAGCCCTCGATCTTTTTCAACTGCGCTCCTTCGTCGGGCAGTTAATGGAAGACCTAGGGCTTCTGCAAATGATAATGCCCTCAAAAATAGCATTCCCCTTATAATACTTGGGATGAGATGCTGTAACTGAGTAATTTGAGGATGGGTGGTTGAAGGCTCCTTTTTGTTTATTACATTTCCACATTTTGCATCACATATTACCGGTATGTCGTTTGACATTCTCCCACCTTGATACTTTTTCAATTAATACTGAAAAATGTGATCAACACTGATCCGTATGGCAACTAAAATGTCTTTAGATTTACTTTCAGTGCATATTAGCATTCTTATCCCCAATGAAAGCAGAGCGAACAAAGTCAATGATTTGTTATATCACAAAATATTGGCCAAACTCACATCGTATAAACTAGTTTGTTTTGTTTTCATTTGTGTTCTTACTTTTAATTTAAATTCAGGCTCTATCTTTAAAAACTTATATGAGTCATTTTTACCTACCTTGGACTGCACCAATAGGAACGTTGTCAATTGAAATGAATTAGATTGGAAACTGAAACAAATGTTCACGAAGAAATACTTGCTCATGCTCAAATTATTTTTATGCTCAGCAAAAGAAGACAGCAAATGACTTATAAAGTCTGTTATATGCGAAGGAATACTTAGTACATGTTCAAAATTAATAGCATGTCCAGCCAAAGAAAACATGACTTATTAACACATTTTTAAATTTATGGCTCCATCAACTACAGAAGACAACAAACGGCTTACAACAGCAAATGCTCTTGTAGTTAGTGCATGTTTAAATTGATTGCTTGCTTGGCTAAAAAAGAAGACAAATGACTTCTAAATACAACTTCTGTTTGGTTTATGGATATGTGTAAAGGACCTGTGCTTCTTTTTAGTTTCTTGGACTTCTACCATTTGAGGTAAATTTCTAGCTTTGTGGTAATAATGCTGTAGTAATTTGTGAATTATTCCAGAGTAATATATATCTTAATTATCACATGGGAAATGTATAGTCTCAGTACAGTGTGTCACATCTTTACATGCAAAATAACTTAAAATCATTTCATGGCATAAATTGTGTACACGAGGGTCTGACCGATTTGGGATATGCTTGATGATTCCTAGGTTGTCTTTGCTTATTTTGTATTCCTAACATTGTTTTGTTTGTTGTTCATGTCACACTCTGCAATATACCATCAATATGAGTACAGTTTGTAAATACCAGAAAGCAAAACAATAACAGACTAGACGTCTTGGAATGTGCCTCATCATTCTTAGGTTATTGTTCCTCATTTGGTACGACTATCTAGCTTCTTAATGGTTGTGCACACGTAGTTGTAAGTCACTGACCGATTCCTGTGTCACAGCTGGTGAGAGCCAATAGGGTGTGCACGCATAGCTGTTCATCACTATCACAGAGGCCTGTGCTAAGACAATATGGGTGGTTAGTGCTATGAGGTTTAACTTATTCATTATAAGTGTCAGTTTTCTCTACTGCCAGAAGATTTTATTCAGTGACTTTCAGGCAGATTTTCCCGGGTGTTTCTAAGTGTAAACTGCACTGCCCACTTTGTTTACAGTCCACATACATACAGATATAGTGCTGACATGAAACCATGCATTACAACAGTTCTGGTGTCTTGAATCATTTCACTAACTCTTCTGCATGTAGGGTGTTACTGATGTTTATATACCCAGGATGGAAGTAAGTCGGACTTAAGCAAGGGTCTGCAGCACTGACAACCTCTAAGCAAATTGCATGAAGATGCTTGTTTCAAGGGAATTTGATTGAAGGTTTCAGAAAAATCATTCAAAAACTTTTCTTACTCGGCTAATGGACGATAGATTTTATTATTTTTTAAAGTAACACATTTTTCTGTTGGTTATCCAG